CTTTAGTAAATTCAGAGAATACCTCTTTTGGTTCTGACTCATAGTCTGAGTCATCTGCTGTGGTAGCCATAAGAGCTAGGTTGGCGTTCTCATCTTCAAAGTCAGATTCATCTTCAGAAGATTCTGAATCCTCCCAGGTGGCCATCATGCCTTTCTTTCTACCAAACTTTTTCTTTGGTCTGTCTCTTTGAAGTTTTGGACAATCACTCTTGTAGTGTCCTGGTTCTTTACATTCATAGCAGATTATCTCTCTTTTGTTTGACTTCTTATGTCCAGAAGATTCTGGTTTATCTTCTGACTTCTTGAAGTTCCTGAACTTCTTCTGTCTGTGCTTCCACATCTGGTTGATCCTTCTGGAGAGCAAGGATAGTTCATCTTCTTCTGATGCAGATTCTTCAGAGTTTCCTTCTTCTGCTTGAAAAGCGTTAGTTTCAGATTTTTTAATATATTTAAGGGCAACAGACTTACCTTTCTTCTGAGACTCGTGTTCATCAAGTTCTATCTCACGACTTCTTAAAGCGCTGATGAGTTCTTCAAGAGACATATTGTTCAAATCTTTTGATACTTTGAAAGCAGTGACCATAGGTGCCCATCTTCTGGGTAAACTTTTGATAATATTCTTAACATGGTCTTCCTTGGTGTATCCCTTGTTCAGAACTCTCAGGCCAGCGATCAGAGTTTGGAACCTTGAGAACATAACTTCTATATATTCACTTTCTTCCATTTTGAAGGCTTCATACTTCTGGATGAGAGCCAGAGCTTTAGTCTCTTTCACTTGAGCGTTTCCTTCATGAGTCATTTTGAGAGACTCAAACATGTCATGTGCTGTATCTCTATTTGTGATCTTCTCATATTCCATTTTAGAGATAGCATTCAGAAAGATATTTCTAGCTCTATGGTGATTTTTGAAATCAGCTTTTTGTTGTCTATCCATAATCTTTCTATCAATCTTGTTTCCTTCTGAGTCTATAGGATGTGTGTAACCATCTAAGACCATATCCCATAAATCACTATCATGACCTAGAAAGAAACTTTCTAGTCTATCTTTCCAATATTCAAAATCTTCTACATCAAACACAAGAGGTTTGTTGTAGTTATTGTTGTTTTGTTCAGTGGCCATTGTGTTTTCCTTCTGGATATTTTTCTGACACGGTTAAGTGTATGCGCTCAGAGTCAAGCTCTGATACCAATTGAAGGGTGAGAAAAAACTTAGAAGGGGGGGGGGGGGGGTTGAATAAGTTTTTCCTTTTTCTTTTTCTTACTAGCTCAACAATAATGGAAAGACACAATTATTTTTATCTTGGTTTGTTTGAACTTAAACTACTCCAATCCACCCGCCAAAGTTATTTCGTCTTTCTCAACAAGGACTTAATTCACTATAATCAAATAGATTACAATCACATAACCAAACAGTTGTGACTAACAATACAAAGTACAAGTAAACTTACAAGTGACTAACACCACTAAGACTCAAACTAGTCCTAGCCTTCTTGAGAAATCTGACCAAGCTTGGTCTCTCAAGGAACAAATACAATAATTAAATCTTTACAATAGTGAAACAAATTTCTTTTTAGAAAGCTATATCACAAACTGTGATTTATCACTAAGATATGTTTTGCACTTGTAAAAATAACAAAATAATTTGTGAGCAGCAGAATAATTTTCACGTAAGATGTTTCTTTTGTTTTGTTGAGTTGTTGAGTAGTTGGCTTGCAATAAATTATCTTCTATTTATAGCATGAGGAAGACGACCGTTGCTGCCTTCAAAAGTGAGGATCAATTAATGTTTGCGTGTTTGCTTGTAGTATTGCTTTTCCCAATGAACTAGCATAGAGACACTTGAGTGCTTTAGCCGTCTTTGCATTAAATGAACAAATGGCATTGTCAGAGCATGTTCCCTGAAACTTGACAAGATTGATTTCTTCTTTAATCTATTAGAACTTGCTTGCAAATAACTTCTCATCAGAGCTTGCTTGCAAAATACTTCTGAATAGAGTTTGCATGGAAACTTAGAGGATGCTTTAAATTGCTTCTTATCAGAGCCAGCGTCAGAACTTGTGCTAAGTAAATAGTTCTTTCATCAAAGAACTTCTTCAATTTTATTCAGCTCAGCACGTAAAGTGATTTTCACCTTAGAAAATACTTCAGTCAGAACATTATCTGAAACAAAGAAATATGCTCAACAGATTATCAATTATACAAAATATATTTTGTTGTTATCATCAAAACTCTGAGATATGATCAAAACCAATCTTGTTCTAACATTAATAACTTAGTTTTTCTTTTTGTTTTGTTTGCAGGTAGTAAAAAGGGATTCTTACTGGTGAAAGCTAGGAGGCAACAACTGGCGTTGCATTTCCCTCAGTGAGTTACCTTCCTCGCGCTTGTTCTGAAACATTGGGGTAAATTTTTAGTTCAAGTTTGGGGGGGGGGGGGGGGGGTTGATTTACTTATATTCTTACTTCTTTTCTTTTTGAGTTATTTTGTTGGTTCTATGCTAATTGCTGTGCAAATCCACGAGTTGAAGTCCTTCCCAAATTTTTCCGAAAATTTTTGTTTTGTTCAACAACTTATTTCTCATAGAGTTCGGGAATAGTATATAGAGACAAATGGATGGTTGTTCGAGGTTAGGAAGTTCGGAATAATTTGACAGTAATATGAGTCTAACCTGTAGATTTCTACCATAGTGCTTGAATCCTGAGAAGTATTCCTGAAGTAGTTTATCCTTACAGTCTGACATAATATAGATTCACATGCATGTACGATTGGTGGAGAAATAAATAAATTTAGCACCAAACGATGAAAAGGCGGTAAAAGGCAACTGACTCGCTAAGTTGGGTAGCCCTCACTCGGTTATTCAGCCCAAAGGGGGTTGATCACCAAACATCGTTCAAAAGGAAAATATATAACTGCAAAGTTTGAAAATTTAATCGGTAATTAAAAGGAGCAAAAGCTCTGATTTGGTGCTTGAACATTTTCTTGATCAGTCTTTTGCGTGTGATGATCATTAACAATTCTCAATACCTTAATTTGACAATCCGAATGAAAAAGTAGGAAAATTGGAAAAATACTTAAGTCCAAAGCATAGTTAGAGAGGTATCCGAAGAGTAAGCTCAGGTCAAAAGTTTCTTACACAAACTCATCGCGTCATGCGAACATCGGACAAACTGCTTTTTGATCAATTGGAACGGATGTCTCACGTATGAGTACCGGTATACTATGATTTTCATGAGTTCTTGTAATGGTCGCTTAAGGTCAAGCAATGATTTAAGTTTAGGGGAGTTTGATCAGTGGTATTTACACAATTATTTATCGTTAATTGCCATTATCTTTTCTTTTATTGTTGAGTGTTTAATTTCATTTTACCGTATTTTATACTTTGGTTGTGTGTTTTAGTGTTTTCAGGGTCAAAGGAATAAAACAGGATAATTCAGGGCAAAAAAGTGCAAAAACTCAGAGTTTCGGAGAAAGTCAAAAAATTTATCTACAGGAGGCTTGACACGGCCACCCGTGTCGCCTGACACGGGCTGTGTCAGGATGGGCGAATGAAGAAAGATGGAAGTCAGGGGTGAAACACGGGCGGCCGTGTTTCCTAACATGGGCCGTATTGTAACCCCTGGGACCTTAAAAGAAAATTAGGGAGTTTAGGGGCCAACACGGGCGACCATGTTGCTTGACACGGGCCGTGTTGATTTGTGACGCTAATTTTCTGATTTTTTCATAATTTTTCCATATGTTAAGTTGTGAGGGAATTTTGGGTACTTCGAATCAATCTTGATGAATGATGGCTATTTAAATGAGTTTTCACAAGGAATAAGGGGATTTTTTGGGAGCGAAGAATAGTTTACACGACTGAAGATTGGAGAAGTCAAGGTTTTCCGAAAATGGGAGATTTTCATGCGCGGAAGCAATTGAAGATCAAAGTTCACCCCAATCCTTATAATGTCGATATTTTGTCTTGTGATTATTTTGAACAATATGAGTAGCTAAACCCTCCAATGCTAGGGATGTCCCATATTTGCATCTATAATGATTATGAATTCTTGAGTTCTTTAATAAAGTTGTTTTCTTATTCAATTTAATCGTGCAATGTATTTACGCTTTCTTGATCAGACCAATTAAGATTAATCTTAAAGTTTTTGTACGATTAGGCTATAATAGATATCACCTAGGACTAGGGATACCCTATAGTTATGAAATCACTCTTGATATAATAAAGACTTGACTCCATCAGATATTTCTAAGGATTTAGGATTTAGGATGGAGGATTAAAGGTTTTCCCACTAAGGACTTAAGGGAAGATAATCTAAAGGGATGGTAATGTAAGGATATGAACTTGTTGAAGAGATCAGAATTCAAGGTTGTTATAGGGTAAATTATACACCATATCCTAGCATGCTCTTCATATCTGTGAAAAAACCCAAATTTACATTCTGGTTATTTTTTATTTTGTTAAGTGACAATTTCTAAACCAAAACCCCAATTAAATTTTGGTTCAATTGAACGTGAATTGAACTCGATAATTGCATGCAGTCCTTGAGATCGACATTCGGGGAATCTCCATGTTATTATAAGAGGCAAAATAGTACACTTTCTATTTTTCCTATCAATCACAATCTCAATCTCAATCGAAGAGATCTAAAATAAGAAAGAAACATCATCTAACTAAACGCATAGTCTAGTCGATCCTGCAAGTAATCAAACTCTCTCTTTTTGATTTGAAGGACTAACGATTGTTTACCAAATTCCAAAATAAATAATATGCTAGTTCTGTTAACTTCTCCCTCCAGGAATGCTTATGAAGTGTGAGGTCCACAATACTTTGTGAAGATTGTTGGCACAAAGAAGTTACAATATCTCTCAGATACTTCCCAAAAAGTATTTCCAAAGTTAATATTCTAAAACTATACACATCACATTTTTCATTTACTTTCGTTGTGTATGCTAGTTTTGTTAAAATTGAAAATTTGGATTACAAAAACAAAACATGAAATGATAAACTACAAAAAAGATTTAAAATAAATTAAAGTAAAGAAAGGTAAATGACATGGAGCAGCATATCCAAAGGTCAAATTGGATGAATTGGGATTTAGAAACTTAGATGTTCCGAAGTCCGAAACATGAGCGACATATTCCAAATTCAAAATAACATTCTTGCTGGATATATCACGATGAACAATGGGAGGTGTGCAATCATGATGCATATAAGATAAAGCATTTGCAACATCTTTAATGACATTCACCCTCCTCTTCCAATCAAATTCACCAGATGTTTCATTCTCCTTCAAAATGTTGTCCATGCTACCATTTTCCAAGAATTCATAAACCAAAAATGAGTGTAGTGAATGTGAACAAAACCCATATAACTTCACAATGTTCCGATGTCGAATCTCTGTCAAAGCACGAATCTCACTCTCAAAAGCTTTCAGATTGGACATTTCTTCATTTTGTAATGAATGGATTTTTTTCACAGCAACAACTTGACCTGTGGGCAATTCAGCTCTGTAAACACTTCCATGCCCTCCAACTCCAATGAGATGCTTGTTGTCAAACTCTTCTGTGGCTTCAATAATATTCTCATACACCATTTTCCCATCAAAACTCCATATTGTGAATAGATTTTCTGTTGGTGATTCTTCAAGAGCCTTGTATTTGTTTGTTCTTGAAGTTTGACATAGATGATATGTGAGCCCATAAGCAAATAATGTTAAAAATAGAGTTCCTAGAGTGATGGGTAAGACGAACACCAAAATTGTGTTATTCTTATGGCTATGAAACTTGTCACCTAGCGTTGAGCAACGCTTTGGGCCACAAACATTACCACACAGGCCTTTGTTATTTCTGAGTGCTTCAAATGAAGCATTTTGAAAAGCTGAAATGCTTGGAACCGGACCCTCTAATTGGTTGTATGATATATCAACATTTGTCAAGCTCAACATCTCACCATATCTCAAGGGAATAGCACCAGAAAGATTATTATGTGAGAGATTCAATGTTTCTAAGGAATTTAATTGACCAAACATTGCTGGGATGGTTCCATTTAAAATATTCTCACTAAGATCAAGATTTTCAATAACTTTCAATTTTCCAAACTCAACAGGAATGTTTCCTTCAAACTTATTTTGGTATAGACCCTTTAACATGGTAATAACTAATATCAGTTTCTATTAAATTTCTCATCATCTGAATATTCTTTGGCATAGAACCGAAAAGACCACTTTTAAAATCTATGATTCTATTTTAATATATTAATTCTTAGACACAAATTATATGATAATTTATCATTTTTTAAATTATTTAATTGATATTTCATAATCTCTCATGTCACATCAATTAAAATAAGATGTGACACTCTTCAAAATTTATCAATAAATTTTTTTTAATATTCATTTTAACAATAATGTGTAACATTCTACTCATAATTATTAAAATAAAATACTCTTATTTATATATTTTACAAGTTAATTTTCTATTTTATTTTTCATATATTAATCATTATTTTTTTTATCTGTATCTTTTGTCTTACAAAATACATAATATAATTTTTTCTCCATACAAATTATAAATAAAAGTTAAAAGTAAATTAAAATAAGTATTACATTACTTAAAATATACCTATTTATTATAATTTATTAATTCAGAGACACATACTATCTGATTGAATTCATCATCTCTCAAATTATTTAATTGATAATTCAACATTTCTCATACCACACTAATTAAAATATGATGTGACACTGTTCAAAATTTATCAATAGAAAACTTTTAATATTTATTTTAACATTGTTTAAAATAAAATATTTTTTTTTTAATTTAATTTTTAACTTTGCAATAAACAAATAGAGGCCTTTCCAAAATATAATTCTTAATTATATTTATAGTTAATTGTTAAAAATTAAACTTCAAATATAAAATTAAATAATTATTTTTTAACTTATTATATATAAATGTCAAATAATATATTAATAAATTATAAATATTTAACATAAAAAAGACAATTCAATTGAATTAAATCAATTGTATGCATAAAAATTATTGGTATAACGAAATACAAACACACAATAATATTTTTGTTTATGTCTATCCTCTTTTTTTCGTACAAAATACATAATATAATATTTTACTCCATAAAATTATAAATAAAAGTCAAAAAACAAAATGAGTATTATATTGTTTAAAATATATCTATCTATTATCCATTATATTATAATAATTTCGAGACACAAACTATTTGATTGTATTCATCATTTCTCAAACCATTTGATTGACAACTCATCATCTCTCATGCCAAATTAATTAAAATATAATGTGGCACTCTTCAAACTTTATCAATAAAAAATATTTAATATTCATTTTAACATTGTTTAAAATAAAATGGTTAAATAGAAAGTTTTATTTTATATCTTATGTCAACTATGATGGTTGGTTATGTATTGGGTGAATCGTTCCAATATAAAACGTATTCAATCCATAAAATGATAAAAACACATTTTTAGAGATGTTGAAAAAATTAAATGTCAAACAATAAAAAAATATTTAAATTTTATATATTTATTTCACAAAATTAAAATATGATGTGGCGCTCTGCAAAGTTTATCAATAGAAAACTTTTATTATTCATTTTAATATTGCTTAAAATAAAATGGTTAAATAATACTTTCAAATTTTTAATTTATAACTTTGCAATAGATAAACAAATGTCTTTCTAAAATATAATTCTTAATTGTAATTATAGTTACATATTAAAAATTAAATCAATTGTATATATTAAAATTATTGGTATAATGAAAGATAAACACCTAACAATATTTTTGTATTTATTTTAATACATAATTCATTATTTAACCCGTAGAAACATATTAATTCATTATAGTCATTATCTTCTCAAACTACTAACACATTGTAAAATAAAAAACATCTTAGATCTTACGACAATTGTGATGATTGACTACTTACTGTATGAGTCGTTCGAATGTGGAACGTATTCAATCCATAAAATGATGAAAATACATTTTTAAAGATGGTGAAAAAATGACAAATAAAACAATTAAAAACTACTTAAATTTTATATATTTCCTTCACATTTATCATTTTTTTTTTTATTTTGATGTCTTATCTTACATTTTTATAATAAAATAAAAATCACTTTAAATTATATATATTTTTAAATATTTTCTTCATCACATTATTTTAATTAGAAAACTTCTTATACTAAACATAACCAAGACCTATATAATGTAATAATATTTATATAACTCATCTTAATCTCGCACATCCCACGGGTCTTATCCTAGTTTCTATTAAAGTGGAATACTACCGTAGAGATTGTTAACTGACAAATCTATTAGAGGGTAATTTAGTATTTGTTATTTGTAGATAATTTTTTATTAGGGTCTATGTGGCATTCTTATTTGTGTATAAATAGGTGTACTGGGTTTACATTTTTAATACAATCAATTCCTTCAATCATTAGTGGCAGCTTTTAACATTTATTCCTTTTCTCTCTTCTTCCTCAATTTCATCACCTTGCACTAACAAATTGGTATCTAGAGCTCTTGGTTTGTTCTGAAATTCTGGGAAACACGAGTGATAGTGAGCTGTGTGTTTGATTTTTGAATCTTGAACAAAAATCTGAAACAGAATCACACTGATTCTGTGGGTTTGGGAAACACTGAGTGAGAAATATGAGATATGAGTTTTTGTGCAAGGTTTAAGATGAATGGAGGCAGTAGTTTGAACACTAAACTTTCAGTTTTTGATGGCAAAAACTGGAACAGATGGAAGATACAAATGCGTGTGCTGTTTGGTGCTCAGGATGTTCTGGACCTTATTTCTGAAGGTTATGTTCCAGTTGCAGCAGATGCTACTGAAGAACAAAAATCAGAAGAAAGAGCTACGAGGAAGAGGGATCAGAAAGCTCTGTTCTTTTTCCATCAGTGTGTGGATGAAAATGTGTTTGAGAAGATTGTTGATGCAACGACATCGAAAGGGGCATGGGATATACTGACCAGATGTTATGGTGGTGACGTATCAGTAAAGAAGGTAAAGCTTCAGTCCATGCGAAAACAATATGAAAATCTCAGCATGAAGAAAAGTGAGAAAGTTTCTGATTACATCTCCAGAATGATTCTGATCACTAATGAGATGAAGGCTTGTGGAGAAACACTTTCTGAACAGGTAATCATAGAAAAGATTCTGAGGTCACTTACGCCTCAGTTTGATTACATTGTTGTTTCTATTGAACATTCTAAAAATATGGAAACTATGAGAATAGAAGAGTTGCAAAGCAGTCTAGAAGCACAAGAGTTGCGTCTGACTGGAAGAACTTCTGAGAGGGAAGTGGAGCAAGCTCTGAAAGCTTCTTTTGTCAAGAAGGACCAGAAGCAGAATAGACATGGTGATAAATTCCAGAAGTCAGAAACCTCAACTTCTGATGAAAAGAAATATCAGAAGGGAAAGGAAAGGTATGACAAGAAGAAGGTTCAATGTTACTGCTGTAAACAGTTTGGCCATTTTTCCAGAGACTGTAGAAACAGAGGAAGGAAATCAGAAGAAGCAAATATAGCCAGAGAAGATTCTGATGATGAACCTGTGCTACTGATGGCTTCTGATTCTGATGGAAACTGTTCAGGAGATTGGTGGTATATGGACACTGGCTGTTCAAACCACTTGACTGGGAACAAACAATGGCTGATAGAATTTGACTCCAGAAGGAGAACAAAGATCAGATGTACTGATGATAAGTACCTTAATGCAGAAGGTATGGGAAATGTTAGAGTCAGAGTGAAGAATGGAAGAAACATTCTGATCAAAGACGTTTGGTATGTTCCTGGAATTAAAAGCAATCTGATGAGTGTGGGTCAGCTCATTGAGAAATTTTTTCAGTGGTTATGAAGGACAACCTCTTGACGTTGTATGATTCTAATCAGAAGTTGATTATGAAGTCTGAGCAGGGAAGCAACAGAACATTCAAGGTGAATGTAGAAACTTCTGAAGTGGAGTGTCTTAGTGCAGAAGGCGCTGAAGCTGACAGTAAGCTGTGGCACAAGAGGTTGGGGCACTTGAAATATAGAAGCTTAGGGCATCTAAGTTCTAAGAAGCGCGTACATGGCATTTCGAAGATTGTGAAGCCTCAGAAGTCATGTGAGATATGTACGAAAGGCAAGCAACCCAGATTTCCATTTGCATCAGAAGTAGCCCCCAAAGCAAAGCATGCTCTGGGTGTAGTACATTTTGATGTGTGTGGACCATTTCCAGTACTTTCACTTGGAGGAAACAAATATTTTGTGTCTTTTATGGACGAGTTCACAAGAATGACATGGGTAACACTCATCAAGTTCAAGCATGAAGTGTTTACTGAGTTCCAGAAGTTCAAGGTGAAGGCTGAGAAGCAGAGTGGTCAGAAGCTGAAGATTCTGAGAACAGATGGTGGAGGTGAGTATAACTCTACAGAGTTCCAGAAGTTCAGTGAGGAGAATGGAATAGAACATGAGGTTACTGCTCCATATACTCCTCAGCACAACGGTCTTGCTGAAAGAAGAAACAGAACTTTGCTTGATATGACCAGAAGTATGCTGAAAGAGAAAAAGTTACCTCACATGTTATGGGGAGAAGCTGTTGCCACATCAGCATATGTTCTGAACAGGTGTCCAACAAAGAAGCTGAAGGAAACTGTTCCTTTAGAAAAATGGACTGGAGACAAGCAAAGTGTCAGCCATCTGAAGGTGTTTGGTTCTGTATGCTACAAACATGTTCCAGAGGCTAGAAGACGAAAACTGGATGATAGAAGCAAAACAATGTTACTGGTGGGGTACCACAATACAGGTGCCTATAAGCTTTATTGTCCAGAAACAAATAAAGTTGAAATCAGCAGAGACGTCATTGTGAAAGAGTCAGAAACATGGGATTGGAACAAGCTTCAATCAGATTCTGGTGTAGTGCCAACACCAGGGCTAGTTTCTGAAGATCCTTAAGAAAGTTCTGAAGACGAGTCAGAGTCAGAAGATGAAGACTCTGAAGATGAGTCAGAATCTCAGGGAGATTCTGATAGTGGATCTGATTCTGATCCAGATTCTGATGATGATCCAGAATCTAGTGGTGATTATACTTCTGGAAGGGAAAACTCTGAAGACATGGGGTCTGGAGAACAAGTTTCCAGAAGTAACTCTGAAGGTGGCAACTCTAAAGGAAATAATTCTGGACAAAGTCCAGAAGCTAGCATTGTTCCGAGTTCTGGAGAAGCTTCAGAACAAGATCAGAGGCCACAGAGAATCAGACGAATACCAAGCAGGTTTGCAGATTTTAGCATGTTGCATGATACTGAAGTAGATTCTGAAGGAGAAATCGTTCAGTGTGACATGCTAGTAGATTCTGAACTAGTGGGTATTGAAGAAGCGCTCAAGAAGAAAGTATGGCTGAATGCCATGAACGAAGAACTTGAGGCTATTGAAAGAAACAAGACTTGGAAGCTGACAGAACTTCCAAAAGGCAAGAAAGCCATCAGCGTCAGATGGGTTTTCAAGCAGAAGCTAAAGCCAGATGGATCAATTGGCAAACACAAAGCGAGGCTAGTAGCCAGAGGTTTTCTTCAGAAACCTGGACTAGATTACTTTGAGGTGTTTGTGCCTGTAGCTAGACACGAAACAATCAGACTGGTGATTGCTTTAGCTGCAAACAGAAATTGGCCTTTGATACATCTGGATGTGAAGTCTGCATTACTGAACGGTCCATTACAGGAAGAAGTTTATGTGTCACAACCTCCTGGATTTGTGAAAAAGAATCAGGAAGGGATGGTATACAGGTTAAATAAAGCTCTGTATGGACTGAAGCAAGCGCCCAGAGCTTGGAATTTGAAGATTGATTCGTTTTTCAAGGAACAAGGGTTTCAGAAGTGTGAGATGGAGTATGGTGTTTATGTTCAGCACACTTCAGAAGGTAATATGATTCTGGTCTGTTTGTATGTTGATGACATATTACTCACAGGAAGTTCTGAACAAGAAACAACTGAGTTCAAGAAAGTTCTGATGAATGAGTTTGAGATGACAGATCTTGGAAAAATGAGTTTCTTTCTAGAAATGAAATTTATATACTCTGAGAAAGGAATCATTTTACATCAGAAAAAGTATGAACTAGAGCTTCTGAAGAGATTTGAGCTAGCAAATTGCAAGGTTGCTATCACAACTGCTGATACGAATCAGAAGTTGGACTCTGATTCTGATGGAGAGGATGTGGATGCTACAACCTTCAAACAGATGGTTGGTTCTCTGAGGTATTTATGTAATACCAGACCTGATATTTGTTATGCAGTTGGAATGGTCAGCAAATACATGAGCAAACCAAAGTTGTCTCATTACCAAGCTGCTGTCAGGATTCTGAGGTATGTAAAAGGAACTCTGAAATATGGAGTGTTATTTCCTTCTGGAGGAAAGATCAAATCAGAACTTCTGAGTTATTCTGATTCTGATTGGTGTGGAGATAGAGTTGATAGAAGAAGTACTTCTGGGTACTTGTTCAAGTTTCTGGGAGGTCCAATTTCTTGGAGTTCCAAGAAACAGCCTGTTGTGGCGTTGTCAACATGTGAAGCTGAATACATTGCAGGTGCTGTAGCTGCCTGTCAAGCAGTTTGGCTTCTGAATCTGCTGCATGATCTGAAGGTTGAAGTTGAAGAACCTCTGAAGCTGATGATTGATAATAAGTCTGCAATTAATCTTGCCAAGAATCCAGTGCTGCATGGAAGAAGCAAGCACATTGAGACGAAATATCACTTTCTTAGAAGTCAAGTGCAGAAAGGAGTGTTAGAAGTTCTGCACTGTAGCACCCAGAAGCAGCTGACAGATGTTCTGACAAAGACAATAAAAACAGACCAATTTCTTCGCTTGAGAGATGAAATTGGTGTTGTTAACTTCTGATAAGTTACTAAATTACGGGATGGTATTAGAGGGTAATTTAGTATTTGTTATTTGTAGATAATTTCTGATTAGGGCCTATGTGACATTCTTATTTGTGTATAAATAGGTGTACTAGGTTTACATTTTTAATACAATCAATTCCTTCAATCATTAGTGGCAGCTTTTAACATTTATTCATTTTCTCTCTTCTTCCTCAATTTCATCACCTTGCACTAACAAAATCAAGAGTGTTTAGATTGGACATTACACCAATATTATGTGGAACAATTCCATGGAAGGAGTTGTTTCTTAAAATTAAGTTTGAGAAATTGAGACTATGAAACGTACCTTTTAGTCCAATATTGGTGAGATTTACTTGGTTGATGGATTTTGACTCATGATCACATGTGATTCCCTCCCAACCACAAGGATTGTTACCAATCCATGAAGAAAGCAAAAGCTTGCTATGGTTGTCAAAGCTTTCTTTCCACTTTAAAAGAGCGTCTGCCTCTCTCTCTTGGTTATTGCCGCCAGAATACGTGATGTGATAATTACAAACACATAAAAAAAACAAAAGAAGACACAAGTTTGCTAAATGCTTCATTCTTTGAAACATTTGGAAATTTGAAATCAATCACTCAAACTATATAATGGAACAAGAGACTTATTGATTAGGATTTGTGCATTCTAATGAATGTTCTTGATGATATTTATACACTCTTACCCAGGGTCATTATAGTATATATTATTTATTGATCCCATAAACAGTGCATGATGGTAATATTTTGCATACTTGACATTGAGTGGAAGACTCAAGAGGAAGACTAAGTTCAATGGCAGACATTGAATCTAATTAGTGGAAGACTAAAAACTATTTTTCCTCTATGTGACATGAGTTAGAATGACCTCTAGTGGACGGCTAAGACTATAAGTATAAATAAGTTTTGTTTTTTTTATTTTCAAAATCTATTTTATAAATTCATTATCAAACTAGTATATAACTATTAATAAAACATATATGCAAACTTTCTAAAAAAAAACATATAAGCAAATTATTAATAATCTCCTTCGTTTTAAATTTTTTACACTTATAAAAGATTAAAGAATTAATAGGTATTTTGCTTCATGTTATATGGGCGAATTTTGAAAAATCCCTTTGTAAAAAAGAAGTTTGAATTTTCCCCATAACATATGAAAATTCCTTTGTTTTATCCCCTCAAGAAATCAAATCATAAAAAAAATGACATAACAACCATTTTTTTTATATTTTTGTAATGACATGGATTGTCTAGTTGTCTTTATTAATTATTCATTTTATTTTAAATGCCATATGGCTTTTATTTTTCAATATTTAATTTAATTTTGGAGTTTTTAAAAGCAAAGTAATTCAAAATTTTGCACCTATGAACTGTCTAGTTGTCTTTTTTATTATTATTCATTTTATTTTAAATGTTGTGGCTTTTATTTTTCAATATTTAATTTAGGAAAAATATTTTTCTGGTTGTCAAAGTTCATTTTGGTCCTTTAATTTAAAAAAGATTCATATTGGTTTCTTAACTCTTTAAAACGTTTTATTTTAGTCTTTTTTGTCTAATTAGCGGCGAATTTAGCGACTGACTTCTGAGTTTTTTCGTCGTTAATTAGACAAAAAGGACTAAAATGAAGCATTTTGAAGAGTTAAATGACCAATATGAACCTTTTTTAAGTTAAGAGACCAAATTGAACCTCGACATTAACATACATGACCAAAAAGGGTATTTCGCCTTTAATTTAAGCTTGGAGTTTTTAAAAACTAAACAAGATCAAACACAGGTCCACTCCCTCAATTGCAAGCCCCTCTACCACCATGCCTTATTCATTGTTTTAACATCCATACCCACACAAGTTATATATTATAGTTTTGCCCCAGTTTGAATCAACCTAGGTACCATATGAAACCTAGGTGTTGAATATTCTGGTCAATTGGTTTCTCCTTTTGTGGAATTCACTATTACCATTGAAGGGGTTTTTTTTTAAAATTATCATCAAAATCAAATTCAATTTGGTTAGATTTGAGGTGTATTTGTTGTTAAAATGACCGATTCAATTGCCTCAACTTCAATATTAGGCTACTGTCCGATTTGTGGTAGAAATTTGATTAGGGATGTATCTCGAAAGAGAAAATCTTTCAACACTTGAAGGTTTTCACCGATTGAGTTTCTTGGTAGAAAGGTTGTTGTTCCACTGCCTTTGATTAAATCGAAGCAAGACGGGCTCTTGTTATCTTCGTTTATTGACATTGGTTTTGATCGAAGAAAGGTAAAGCCTGATCTTGAAATGTTTGCGTATGCAACACAACTTTGGAACTTCATATCAGAAAGGTGTGTTTTTGTTGATAACAAGCATCATTTGTATGAGCTTCAGGTTGTAGACTTGGGGAAATATTATAATATACAAATTGTATGGGTAAGGTTATCAAAACAGTGAGCATGGTCCAGTGATAAAGGGGTGCCCCTATTGAGGGCATGAACCTGTGTTCGATTTCCTTTGAGTGCAAAATTTTAAATTATTTTGCGTTTAAAAACTCCCTAAATTAAATATGGAAAAATAAAATCCACATGGCATTTAAAATACAGTGAATAATTAATAAAAAGACAACTAGACAGTCCTTGTCATTACAAAAATAAAAAAATGGTTGTCATGTCATTTTTTTTTATGATTAGATTTCTTGAGAGGGCAAAACAGGGAAATCTTCATATGTTAGGGGACAAATCCAATTTTTTTTTACAGGGGGATTTTTCAAAACTCGTCCATATGGCAGGGGAAAAATAACTATTAACCCAAGATTAAAATAGTAAAAATCTAATCTTTCAATTAATTCACTCTAATTCAACCAAATGTTGTCAAGTGTCAAGTTCTCACTTGACACTTTTTCAACTTTCACTTTTTTCTCTACTTTCCACTCTTTCACTCACCATCTCATTCTTCTTTTAAATTCAACTCATATTTCTCTTATATTTCTTTCTCTTTTCGTTTCACTATTTTCTTTTCTACCCTTCTAATAGTTACTAATTTATACTTTTTATGCATATTAAAAATTGTTTGTAATATATTAATATGTATAATTATAGTTGTTCTAGACTGGCCCAATCCGCTTCTATCATTGGCACGATCCAATAACTCTGGCCTAGCATCCCTGGTCGACCACCCCCCCAATAGGCACAACCAACGATGCTCATTACACACACCTACCCAAGTCAACAGCTATCTCTTTGTCTGCCCGACACGAGTCGAACAGGCAACCAGTAAACATCCAGAACCTCTCTCTGTGAGTAATCTACCTCCTCCTTAAAACAACGGTTAGTTACGGGCACGACCGCTTGTTTTGACCAAGTCCTGGCAGTTACTTATTTTTGCGGAACCGCATATCTAGACCCAAAAATAGGGACCAATGGCCAAGTGCCAAGGGCATTACATAAAACCTCACACATGTGAGGACCAGGTATCCAATATTCAAACCTTAAACTCTAATATTTTTCTTGTATCTCTTTGCACTCATTCTTACTTGATCATCAGAGTGCCTTGTAGGTACAACTCCTATTTTCCATCAACTTTCCATCAACCCAGACGTCATCCTTCAGCCCATTTGCAGGTTCTGATCAACTGGTAAGATCAGTGTCGCTGTTTGTGGGAACCTATCTTCCATGTCTTCCTTTTTCTCAGATCTGAAGACCAAATTTACATTCACTACTCTAATCATGGTCGGCCATGATGATCATCACCTCTCTGGAAACATTATACTCTCTCCAGCCCACAAGACTGAAGGAAGCCAAGAGCATCCTCACCTCGAGGATGACCTCGACATAAGAGATGGACATATTGTGTCCCCAGATTCAATCGATGTCGAGCACGACTACCTTCAGTTCTTGGACGAGCAGCGGCCTAAGAACCCTACCGAGGAACTATTGGAGATTCTGTAACTAGTTCATATTCCTCAGAATGTCGATCTGGCCATGGCAGTTGTGATACGGTGGGAGAACTAACTTGGTGTTTTGCGTTTTATCGCAATTGTTACGGATAACAAGAGTCGCCACCAACTTTTCTTTTATCCAATAAAGGAAAGGGTGAAAAGAACAGGAAAGACCTTTTGAGAATTTTCTTGAGTCCGGGGGGTAGGTTATGAAAAGGGAAGGTGTTAGCACCCTTTTCATCCGTAGTTATCTATGAGCTCTTAATTGCTAGCTCACTTTGAAATGCTTTGTGTTTTATGTAAGTTTGAAAGATATTTTGAAGATGTTCTGAAAGTGTTTTGAAAGTGGTAATTTTGTAATGATTCTCGTATCGTTGAGAATGTATACAAAATGTTTGTTTTGAAATATTTTGAAAAACGCCTTAGTACGACAAACTTTGTAATGATTCTCGTATCGTTGAGAACGCATACAAAGTGTTTGTTTGGAAAATATTTGTTTGAAAAGAGAGTGTTTGAAATGATGTTTGTTTTTGAAAGTGTGAGGTGTGAAAATGGTTTTATTTTGTGAGAAAGCAATTACGAGCAATCTACCTACTCATAAGGTCTTTGTTCTTTTCCTCCTCCTTTAGATAGTGCTATTTTACCATTGATTGGTAAGGAGCCAAATCATTGGATGCGAGGGACGGGTGTAGGTCATCGTACAGTCATAGAAGGCAACTTGTAATATGTTTTAGCAATTGTCGTAAGGGACTAAGATCATTTACCGAAGGCAACATTTGAAGGGTCACCGAGGCACTATGATCTTTTAATCGAGGGTCTTTTACTAAAACATCTCACGTTCGAGGGACATGACTGTTTATATCCAAGGCAACAAGTGTGGGTTACCCTAGAGGTGCATGTGTACAAGTGTTTTTGATTTCATGTATTTGTCTTGAACTAGGATTTTCTAATGCTTGATTTTATATCTTGCCATACTAACCCTAATTACTAGCAATAATAAGGAAAACGATAAATTACAGAAATTAAATGTCCTACGCTATTACAACGCTTTGGGAAGGGTGGGGGAGGGGGGGGGGGGGTACAATTTTTGTGAATAGGGAGAGGAAATCAATAAAGCCCTAATTACTATTACAAATCATTGAATGTGAATTACAATAATAGAATGTACAAAAATGTAAAGATGAAGAAGAAAAAGAAATTGACTTTTTAGGATTTTTTGATGGAGTAAAAGTTTAATGTTTTAAACTAATTAGACTAATTAATTTTAAAAAGAAGTTAATTAATTATTTTACAAAACCTAAAGTCTAAGTTAATTAAAAATAAACCCTAAGTCTAATTAAATTGTCTAGAAAATAATAATTTTTGAGGTTTTATTTGTTTAAAAATAAGTGAAGTAAAATAAAATGAAAAGAATTAAAATATTTTTAACCTAATTATTTTTAATAAATATATTTTTGTATTTTTATTAATTAAAATAAAATAAATAAATAAAGAAAATATAAAAATATAAATGAAATAAAAAGTTGGGCCTGATGTTAAAAAGTAAAATAGGGTGTGAAGAAGTAGTAAAAAGGTTAGGCCCAAATTATTATTTTTTGTTTGAGTCAGAAAATAAACAAAAATAAATAAATAAGGGTGGGCCTGGTTGTTATGAGCAGTTTAGGGTG